AAAGCATTTATAACCCCCCCCAAAAAAAAAAAAAAAAAACAAAAACCAAAAAAAAAAAAAAAAAAAAAAAAAAAAAAAAAAAAAAAAAAAAAAAAAAAAAAAAAAAAAAAGTAGAAAAGTTTTAATGCAAAAAGCGCTGCTGACCAAAGGAACCATCTGGTTTTTAATTTTTTTTTTCTTTGCTGTTTCTTTCCATGAGCATCTTGATTGATGTAAAATTATACAAAAGTGTAATTGTTTTAGAAGGTGTATGTCCTAAAGCTAATATATAATTTCATCAGTTTGTCACCTTAAAGTGAAGAATGCATGAAAGGCCCAGACGTAAACAGGATCAGATTTTGAAGTTGCCTTTTTAAGGACCAGACGTTAATCAGAATTAGGCGGCGTGGCATAACGCGAAGCAGACCAGAAATCCACAGCGATGTAAACATGGCTGGCACAATTATTATACATTTATTAAATGAAATCATCATCTGAAACAATATTTTGTATTTCTAGTTATCTTTTTTCTTCTTTTCTAGAAACACAGATTCTCCCTTACGCAAAACTCTGAAAGGGAGAAATACTTTTTTCACAGCACTGTACTAAGGAACATCAAAAATAGAGCCTGGTCCATGTTAATAAGCAATGTTTGATTGAAATTGGACTTGGCTGACCGGGCGTGGGGATGTGGCGAGCTTATGAAGTGGTCCCTTTTTCTTGCACCCAGGATTCCAGATGAAAGACGAAGAGTTTCAGCTGGATTCTGCAGAGAGCAAAAACACTCTTTTAAGCAACATGTTTACTGGTACTGCTCTTTTCATAAGCTTCTTATTGTCTTTGTCATGTACCGTATACGATGCCTCCCTGTCAGATTTTAGCCTGGAAGTAGCTGATGTGGAACAATTGGGAGCTTAGGCGACCCAACCACATGTAGAGCCGGTCCCCCTGTGTGTCGTGTGATCCTCATCCCCCCATTTGTGTTCACCACATTCGTCATGAGACATTTGGCCCCGCTGCATTCCGCACCTCCTCCTTTTGGCTCCTCTGCTTTCCCCTTTCTTTGCCCCCGTAGTTGCTTGCTCTGTGGAGACTCTCTTCTGTGTACTCGTCTGCCTGAGTCGGGTTTTGTTTACACAGACGCACGCGTGCCGTGAGTCTGTGTCGCTGCATAGTGCGTGGGCGGTGTGTGTGTGTGTGTGTGTGTTGTCTTGTGTTTCTCCCGTTATAGACCTCTCATGTTTTCAGCCACTTACATCTTCCCTTTCCAGGTTCTTCGGGTTCTTTTAGCCTCCCAAACACTGGGGACATGTTCTTGAGCATGCAGAGTCTGAATGGGGATTCTTACCAAGGGGCACAAGTCGGAGCCAATGTACAGTCACAGGTAGGATCAACAACCAGGGACAGTTCCTGAGGTGCCACCACAGAGAGCTGTCCTTGTCTTGCCTGTGTACTGAGCCATCCACAGTGCAGTCTGAAGCACGTTAAAACCAAAATAAAAAATAGAAAATAAGGGAAAAAAAAAACAAAACAAAACGCCATGCCGCTCCTGCGAGAGGCAGCTCAAATTACCCAGTGAGGCCTCCCATGCTATCCGACTGTATGAAGTGTTTACTGACTTTTTCGCTTTGGATGGAATATTTTGGCAATCAAAATATAATCCCACCCCACTGCTGCCATGCCAGGAAACAGTTTCCTGGTTCCGAACGTTTTGTGAATGCATTTGGCTTTGACTTGGGCTCTTGGGTTTGGTATTGGGTTTCTTTGGTACAATGTTTCCCCTTTATTTCCTGTGCCGTGTTGCTGTCCTCCTGTCTCATTGTGTTATCGTTTATTGTCAACGTCTTCCATCCTGTGAGTTTTTTTTTTTTTTTTTTAATCAACCTGGAAAGTATTGATTCCTTTAAAGCAGCCGTTACGTATGTGCTTTGTTGCTTTCTTTAATGCTTTGATTATATATATTTTTTTCTTGTTTATCAAACCAAAAGCAATAGCCCAGAACAGAACATCTGAGCATGCTTGTTACATTGGTATGCTTTATTTCTTAAGATAATCTGTTAGCTGTGTTAGCTAGTTAGACCTCTGGCTGTCTTGGGAACCTGTTGTTTTGTTTTGTTTTGTTTTTTTTTTCAAAAGCTTTTGATTAGCACCTCTTGCTTCACCTAGCATGTTTGCAGTCATGTCCGAACTGCAGAAAGACGTACATCTGACCAGTTTCTGCACCTTTTCTGTCCCTCTAGGTGGATACCCTGCGCCATGTTATCAGTCAGACGGCAGGATACAATGATGCTCTAGCAGGAAACACCATGTATAGCCCTCATGGCCTAAACGTAAGTTTAAACTCCAGTGGCTAATGATTAAATCACCTTCTGTAGTTCTGCTTTCCTCCTCAAATACTCTGCGAAACAGTTGGATGACAATATGAAGTTGTTCATCATGGATCATAACCGTTAGCTAACCGATGTGAGTTAATATTACATGAAGACATCAAGAGAGGGAAAATACGACATGCTTACAGGGTTTTAACAAAATCTCACTTTAAAAATATTGAGCTATATCTTTAATATGACATTTTACGTCTATTTGATAAAACTGGAATTGCGAAATTTCATTTTGTTTCCCCCTTTCGATAAACGATCTGTGTAACGTTAGACAACGTGCCCCGTCACTTCATCACCTGAAATTATTGCACTCAGCATCACTTTGTCTCAAAATACGAGTTAGATGGAAAAAGAAAAAAAAAACAAAAAGTATCCCGCTGCATATTCCTCTGCATTTCAGTTGTTTTGAAATGCTTCAGAGAATTTTCCATGGACTTCTCCTCATTATAAAAAGTGAACACGTGATGGCCCGAAGCCTTTTTCAGACATGAATTCCATCTTTCCTGATGAGGTTTGATATGGCGCCTTTTTGTAAAGCAACGCATAATCTGAAGCCATTAGAGTAAAGATTAATTTTCTTGATGAGGGAGGAAGAAGAGTGAGGGAGGAAAAGAGAGAGAGAGAGAGAGAGAGAGAGAGAGAGAGAAATGGTATCCGACAGCTTTCTCTCTGCAGTATATCAGAGCCGCTCCCTTTACATTGTTACTGTATGCCTGCTGGGTAAAATGCATACGCACACACACACGCACACACGCACACACATACTCAAATACCACTTGGAGTTGAGGCATCAAAATAAAATAACACATTTACCTCTTACTGAAAATTACAGGAGGATTTCTGTGAAACAGAATTAGCATGTTTTATGTAAACAAATAGTGGCAGTTGTTTTTTTTTTTTTTTTTTTTTTTTAGAATTAGGTTTTTTTTGTTTTTTTTTGTTTTTATTTTGTTATATCAAATATGA